CTCTTTCTCTCTCTCCTCCTCTCTCTCTCTCTCTCTGCTCTCTCTCTCTTCTCTCTCTCTCTCTTTCTCTCTCTCGGCTCCCACTCTCTCTCTCTCTCGCTCTCTACTCTCGCTCTCTTCTCTCTCTCTCTCTCTCTTCTCGCTCTCTCTCTCGCTCTCTCTCTCTCTCTCTCTCTTTTCTTCTCTGCTTTCGCTCTCTCTCTCTCTCTCTCTCTCTCTCTCTCTCTCTTTCTCTCTCTCTCTCTCTCTCTCTCGCAGTCGCCGCTCGCGCTCTCTCTCTCTTCTATCTCTCTCTTCCCTCTCTCTCTTCTTCTTTCTCTCTCTCTCTCTTCTCTTCTCTTTCTTTCTCTCTCTCTCTCTTCTCTCTCGCGCTTTTCTCCTCTCTCTCTCTCTCTCTTCTCTTCCCTCTCTCTTCACCCCTTCTTCCTTCTTTTTTTTTTCCTATTATCTCTCCTTTCTCTCGCTTGCCTCTCTCTGCTCTCTCCCTTCCCTCTCTCTCTCTCTCTCTCTTCTTCTCTCTCACTCACGTGTGCGCCGGGCTAAGCATGTGTCTGCTTCCCTGCGCTGATGCCGTCGCTCTAGAGAGCTGTATGTTTGCCCACGCACATCCAGTGATGGATGGTTAATTAAAAATACAACGACAGGCGTGCGTGTCCGTGTGTCTCGCATTAGCCGAAGTTTAAATCCTTACTGCTAAACAGACCGTGGTAAAGTATGGAAACCTTTCGCCACCAATACTGAGAGGCACGCACGCACATGCACGCGCACGCACGCACGCACGCACGCACACACGCACGCACACGCACACACGCACATGCACGCACGCACACGCACGCGCACGCGCACGCGCGCACATACATGTACACTACATACGTCTTATACAAATTCCATTTATACAAGGATGCAGGATGACGGAGGTTATCGAACGCCCATTTTAGTTGGTAAGCTCGCTTGTTAGAGGTGTACCACGATTACCATGGCGTCGCCTTCGCCGTAATTTGTCACACTAAATCATGCGAGACACAGCAGGGCCGTAGGCTGAGCAAATTCCTGGGGGAAAGGGCAAATTTTCATGACTCAACTGTGTAATGATGAGCGACGGGCGCAGCTCTTGATCGACGTCCATGGTGTGGTAGGGGTGGGTCTGAGACAAAGCATTCACGGATAAGTGACCAAAACATCATGTTAGGGTTATTTACGATTATTAGCTAAGCTTATTTTTTAATTTTGCTCCAAAATCTAGGGGGCAGCTGTCCCCTTCCCCCCACAAGCTGCGGCCCTGTACAGTAATCTATGCTGTTCCAAATCCGGCCCTGCCCCCGCCCGGCACCATCTACCTTCCTACAATGCTGTCTCTCCACAGCTTTGATTTACACGCATACTGCCAATTCAATCTTATATGGATTCGGAGGAGCGTTCGTTCCCTGCATCGGCTTGTTGTGTCACTCTGCTGCGCAGCGCGTGTGGCTTCCACGTCCTCAATCATTACGTCCACACTGATCCGCCTTCTCAGAAAAGAAACCAAATCAAAGCGCTTCCTTTAATATCCATAGGGGGCGCTGTAGGAACTGTTCATATTTCCTGCGGTTGTGATGTATATGGCGCACGGTTCTACGCAATAAGCCAAACATACTCTACTCGCAAAGAGTGGGGATGGCATTTATGATTCGTATTTGGTGATCAATATTTGGAGCATATGCCGCCTAGGTGCACTAAAAAGATCACCGGTGATTGCAACGATGCATTATATTGCATACATCTACTCATATATTATTGTACCCCACATAGCCGTTTGCAATCTCACTTGAGTGCGGTCATATACTATGTCTGTGGAACGCATATATAGCGGTTGAATCTGAAGCCAAGTTGTTTGAGAATCACGAATGTCCCGCCGTTGCCATTGCGACCGATCCAAACTCCACGACAGATGGCGCTCTCGCTCTAGCTCAATTCATTCAAGTATCCGGAATTGTACAAAGGGGGCGCTGCATGCAGTTTGCGATCGATCGGCGATCAAAGGAGAACCATGAAAGGAATGAAGCAATTAACGTTTCGTTGTTGTTCGCGTGACTCGCCGAGACGGCTGGAGAGAGAGTAGACGTGGGTTGCTAACCAGCGCGAAATAAATGACGATTTAGTTTTTAAGCTGGAAGCAGCGGGCGTCTAAAAAACGAGCTATTACTGCTCGCTCTCCCTTTTTACCATCGCCGAAGGGAAATCGCGTTGGCCATTTAAAGAGGAAAGTGCACAGTCTACTTTATTGAGTTACACGAAATGCACGAGATCGTGGGCGATAGAAAACTAGATAACTCGCTAAAATGTATATGAATAAGGTGTTATGTGACGTACAGCTCACTGCCGCACGAATCGCGGATGTCGGTATATGTCGGTACGTTATATCCGTCCGTTAGAATATCATCCCAACCATAGGAATGGTCCATAAGGATGGAGCTCTGTACATATAGAGCGTGATACGAATAATATCATGATGCAACATGAATGAAATCGTGACCTCTGATTGACCGATATGGAGAAACATGGCGGTGTCATTTTATATTGTTACTTATCAGTATGATGGATTGTGTCAAGTTTAATTATGAAAAAAGTTGTAGCCGAGTGCATAACTTACTATATTTTTAATGGGTACGAATAAAGGTCGAAATGCACTAGTGCATTATAAGAGATCTCATACCGTAAAATCGTTAAATCTGCGTTGTTGTTTTTTACGTTAAATGACATGCTCCGTTCATTCGTTCATCACTAGTATGTACCTGCCATTCGAATACAAGATACGACTGTTGGAGAAAGAGAGAGAGAGAGAGAGAGAGAGAGAGAGAGAGAGAGAGAGAGAGAGGGGGGGATATATATAAAATATAGAGAGAGAGACCTGCTGCTACATGTGCCCGCTAATAATATTTTAATGTCAGTTTTCTATACAGCGATCATCACGACCATTGAGATGCTAATGCTGCCGCCTACTAATACACGCACGCAAGCCTGTGTCTTACCGACGTTCATTCATATCGATCGTGATGTAGAAACTTCCCGATCGAACCGGTTATATTAGCTTCTTCTGTACTAAACAGTTGGAATACTAATCTTTTTCTAAAATTATGTGGAAACTACATTATAATATTGAAAGGGTGGGCGGTGATTGTCGAGTTTAACGCCTCTATTTTCAGTACGATTAGTACACGCGGACTAACGATACACCGACGCCACGTTTAACATGTTGTCCTCCGAACCCCATATTATCTTCACGGACCAACTGGCTTCAATATGCAACTGGTGTGCGTGTCTGCGTGCGTGCGTGTATACCTGCGTGCGTATACGTGCGCGCGCATGTGTATACGTGCGTGTGCGTGCGCGCGTGTACGTGTACGCGTGCGTGCCTACGTGAATGCGTGTGTGTACGCGTGCGTGCGTACGTACATGCGCGTGTGTAAGCGTGGGTGTGCATGCGTGCGTGTGTGCGCCTGCGCGTGTGTGTCTCTGCCGAGCATTTACATATTGCGTACAGCCCTACTCTACATACGACGAGCACGTTTCCGTCGAATAGAGAGACATATAGAGAGACATATAGAGAGACATATAGAGAGACATATAGAGAGATATATAGAGAGACATATAGAGAGACATATAGAGAGACGTATAGAGAGATATATAGAGAGACATATAGAGAGACATATAGAAAGACATTCGTGCACCGAACAGCCCAGCCCGCATATGCATTGACGTATATACGGAGCATAACGCTTACGCTGATATACGTATAGTCAAGTCGTAGTTGTAGATATCATAAAGAGTCCATAATCGCATTTTTTTCTATCATGGACTCTTGATATCATGCTGTAAACAAGAATGATGATTTTACACGTGTTACAATGCTACACGGGACTGCAACAAAAATCGCGGAACGAGGCATCACGACGCGATGCGATGGACGTGACGTGAACCGATCCACGGCGCGAATATTTAGCTCTAACCAATTAGCGATGGTGGCGTTCTGAAAAAGCTGCGTAGTAATAAAGTGTCGTAAAATTGACAAATTGGTGCGTGGGCGTAACAACAACGTCCAAATTTGGTTAGCTTGGTTGAGCCTGCATTACTGATAGACGGGGCGTTCGTAATAGACGTATATAAGACAACAGCTACGTCTCCGTGAACATTCGAAGCTGCAATGTTTCGACAGTCGGTTACTTTTAGCGAGATTTGTAGTGAGCGATGATTAGCAAGACTTGCTGCACGAAGCTATCACGTAATAATACACGATATACGCGTATTTGCGTTCTATGCCACAGAGACGTACGTGTATGGTCTCGCTGCCTCACATCGGGTCTCAGCAACGCCTCGACTGTTGTTCAAGTTCAATACATGCGTCTCATCTGTTATGTAAAACACCGCAAGTTAAATTGACTACGTTACGAAATTTCTATGGTGTATATTTTTAAAAAATTTGCTGCCTTTTTTTACATTAAAAGTAAGTACTAACGGGACTAAATCTATCGTCAAATTCTTACTTGATAAGATTGTTTCTCAACTAGTTAAAAATCCAAAAAACCTGGACGATTTGATATTATGATCCTGACATTAATTGCTTGCTATGGGCTATGTATGCGTCACGAGTGTATGTTTACATCGAACAATATAGTAAAATAGGAAGTATAATGCAGCAATTTAACCATGAAAAGTGAACAGAATTACTGAAAGAAAAAAGAAATATCTTTTTTATTTTTTACTATTTACGGTGACGAAATCACTTTAACGAGTAATTCCTCATGTAAATCCATGTAATCTGCACCGGTCTAATTAACGTTGGCTACATTGTTCGACACGCAAGACGAGATTAAATGCAGCGAATGCGTCGAAAGTAAAACCATTATAGGAAAATGCAATTATGTGCCAACGAACGGAATACATGCTAGCGATGCATTAACGCGAATGCCGCGGGATTTCTCGCGCATATTTCATTACGACGTTTGCATGTCTTTTTGTTGCAGGACGCTCTCTGGTTCGGCCATCACAGCGATCGATTCGGACACGTTCTCTGGCATGGAGCATCTAAAACAGCTGTAAGTCAGAATTCCACGAAGCCTACATACTGAGTTTACGAACGCAGAATTTCATCGTACATGACCATGACTCCCTAATGTGACCTATAAGCCTAGTCGCAATTTCTTACTGATGGTGACTCTGTCGTTAGTACGAGATTAATTGTAAGAAGCTTCTAAGAGCTTCTGTGCACTTATAGTTTTTTTTCTAAACGTTATCTGATATAGTGTGATGCGATGTGATGTAATGTAAAGGTAAACTGCCCAGAGCAAGAAACTGCCAGACGTCTGCATTATGTAAAATCTGTACAATTATAAACTAATTTAATCTCGGCCGAAATAGCAGGAAACTGTAAACACTCGATCGTATCAAGAGCGTATTAAGAAGGTCTAAAGAATTACTAAGAATTAATACGCTCTTGATCGTATACGAGTCGAGTTCCAATCGCCGTGCGTGCGCGTCCGTGCGCGTGCATTCGTGCGTTAGTGTCTTTGAGCGTTCACGTGTGTGCGCGTGCGTCCGTGCGCGTGCGTTCATGCGCTAGTGTCTTTGATCGTTCACGTGTGTGCGCGTGCATTCGTGCGCGTGCGTTCATGCGCTAGTGTCTTTGAGCGTTAACGTGTGTGCGCGTGCGTCCGTGCGCGTGCGTTCATGCGCTAGTGTCTTTGAGCGTTCACGTGTGTGCGTGCGCGTCCGAGCGCGTGCGTTCATGCGCTAGTGTCTTTGAGCGTTCACGTGTGTGCGTGCGCGTCCGTGCCCGTGCATTTCATAGCCGCTAGTGTCTTTTGATCGTTTTCACGTGTGTGCGCGTGCATTCGTGCATATGTGCTAGCGTGTGGGCGAGCGTGTGCGTGTGCGTGTATGGCTGTATGCCCGCCTATATATATATATATATATATAAATAATATATATGTGTGTGTGTGTGTGGTGTGTGTGTGTGTGTGTGTGTGTGTGTGTGGTGTGTGTGTGGTGTGCTGTGTATGGTGTGTGTGTGTGTGTGTGTGTGTGTGTGCTGTGTGTGTATTATATATATATGCGCCTGTGTGTGTGCAATTTTAATTTGACGATGAGTTCCAAGTTGAGTTATAACTGAATGAAATCCTCTAGTAACTAACGAAATACGTGAGAGTACAGTGACACGAGTTTAGCTTGAGCGTTTCACAGCGCGGAATCTAGATTGGAGACAATCTTGCTCGCCGGCGGATTTCTAGACTGCTATCAGGAGTGAACAATAATAGATAAACTATTATATACTATAATATACTAGATAAACAATTATATACTATAATATACTAGATAAACTATTATATACTATAATATACTAGATAAACTATTATATTATACTATAATATACTAGTTAATCTATTATTATTCACTCGTGATCCTATCATGTGCTATGACGCAATAGTGTGTGCAGAATTACTCTGCGTGTAAGACACCGCAGTGTTGTATACATAAGAAACATAAATAATTAATTTCCTCGTTTCTATTGATGCATGCAAACAGATCAAAATGCATATTTATATTGTAAACACATTCAGATCGCTGAACCACATGGTTGTACGACAACAAGCGTGCTATGTGAATGTTATAGTGTCGGTAATTCTGCTTATCTGTCAGTACACAAATGAGAACATTTGATGAGACAACGCGCAGCGGGATCGCCGATGCGTGCACAATCTGCATTGATTATGTCCTGGCAGTCTTTCACATTGCGGCTTGCCGTCGTCAATGATTGTGTGTCGTGATATACTGCACAACAGCAACGCCAAACTCCACGACAGATGGCGCTCTCGCTCATGGACTCAATCTACCCTGAGTGTACGAAGGTGCATTGCATGCGGTTTGCAGCAACGCAGCCATGCCACACACACACCAGGGCCGTCGCTAGGGATTGACTAATATTGAAGGCCAATCGCGAACCATCGTAAGTCCTAAAGTGGGAGAGTGTGTGAGGGGTTTCCCCCTCCCCCAGGTGGGGGTCCGGGGGGCGAAATTTTTTTCCCCACTTGAGTTCCGGACCCACCATAGATAGTGTTTTGTAATAAATGGTTCTTATATATATGGTTGGATTATAGTTAGTGTTAGGGTTCGGTTACGTGTTAGGGTTAGGGTTAGGGTTAGGAGTAGGTATAGCGTGTGGGTTAGGTATAGCAGGGGTGTTCGGTTACGTTTTATGGTTAGGTATAGGAGGTATTCATTTTACATTGTTGCTTCGAGGAAGTCGAGTGAATGGAGTGCGCTGATTGGCTGTGGTCCGGAACTCAAGTGGGGAAAAAAAATTGCGTCCGGGGGGCCTCTACCGAAATCTTTTGAAATGCTCTAGGAAAATCGTGTACGCTGGCGTGTTGAATTTTGAAACACAGTAAAAAGTACATTGCAACTGCTTAATAAACCTATGCTCGACGAAGTCATATTAATTGCTAAATAAGAAATTTCTTATGAATTTTCTTGATTTAGAAATAGCAATTATGTTTGCAGTGTACTGAGTTCCCCCCCCCCTGGTAGTAGACGATTTTTGTGAATGAAATTTATCAGAGAGGTACAAAATTCAGCTTTCGAACCGAAAAAAGTGCCATGTCGAGCAATAAAAATTAGCGTGTTTACGCCGCTATTTTTCTTAGTTGGTTACTGAACTAATATAAAAAATACAATTTTATTAGGTCAGTAAAAACCTTGTGTATGAGATTTCACAATTTATTTACAAAATATAAATCCGAAAATGATGTTGAACTCCGAGCTTCCGGGCCTCCGCCTGGCGACGTGTCTACACACACACGCACGCACGCACGCACGCACGCACGCACGCACGCACGCACGGCACACAACAAACACATCACACACCACGTACAACGCACCGCGCGCGAGCTTATTGGTGTTATTAGACTCGAATCACTGATATGTTCCTGCCCATACCCTAATCGTACGTTTGATCAACCGTAGTATTTTCTCGCACTAGACTGTCAGATATAAAAACATTGCAGGCGGAGGTACAGTTATTTCCATGGTGAGGCGCGGGGACAGGATGCAGGCTCGGTACTCGATGCAAGTTTACATCAGTTGTGCCATTTTTTGTAGTAGCGCGAGTGAAATACTAGTGTAACAAACAGGCCATCGGATTGAAAAATGTGTTTTATCTTGCTGCATGTTATTATATATCAGAATGTAGATATAGGGAAGGGTGTGATTTCATAAACGTGGGAAATTAGTATTTACTAGGCCTTAGATACTTACGATTTATACAGCGTAATCAACAAATTTGAGTTCGAAATCGTTAAACGTTACATTCGAATAGCATCGTGGGCGGAATCGATTTCGCGTATGCACTCGCCATCTGGAGATACGCGCAGCACTCGTTGAGCTATCTTTGACCTAGTTTAAGCTGAGTATGCCCCCCGCCACGGCACGCCCAGCCATCATCAGCAGCTCTCAGACTCCAATATCCCAGCGTAGCAAACCGCATCGCCGAAGGCCAAGAGTTGTCGCATAAAGAGTGTTGTAGCTGCCTATTGTATTCGAAGGGTGTTAGGCGGGTTTATGGATTGTTTATTGGCGTTGCGCAGGCAGAACTAGCGAATCGTGTGTACGTTTTAAGTCTGTATGTCCGGATTGGGGGGTGTATACGAAGAGAACGATTTCGCACGATCGCTAGAACGAATGCTACTGTGTACGATTTGAGCGGTCAAGGTGGTTGGAGTTACGCGTTAGTAAATCGGGTATTTCTAAGGCTAGTAAATGACGAATTTCAATGTTTATTGGACAGTCACACTCTTTCACCTATTATTATTCTGGTCGGATATATATAGTTATAATGATATATATATATATATATATATTACTATATATATAGGAAGGAGGATGAGAGGAAAGAGTGAGAGAATCATTTTTAGTCATATTGCGTACTTACGAGTAGGATAACTTCATTTTCTTTTGTCGTGAAATTTCATCAGCCAAACGCTGGAATTTCAGAACCAGGAAAAAGCAGTAATGAATACCAATCCAATATCCATTTCTCTTATCTCTCTCTCTTCTCTCTCTCTCTCTCTTCTCTCTCTCTCTTTTCTCTCTCTCTTTCTTCCGCAAATACGCTTCATCCAACACTCAGCATATATGCACCACCTACAACCTCTGTCGAGAAGACGAGTGAAATACTAGATGGACATATAGTCAGTAGGCAGCCGAGGTGAACACCAACCTAATGGCTCGAGCAATGGGAATGCGTTGAGGGGTGCCAGGGAAGCAGAACTATTCGTTATGCGCCAGACCTAATCTGTTGCATTATCACACTTCATCGAATGCAAGCAATGCTTTCGGTCGTGGTGTTGTGGCTATGTATCAGTACCCCCCCTCTCAGCTCGTTCGCTCTCTCGCTCATTATGCCTCGATTTTTTTTCTCACTGAGCTCATCTCACTCAACTCACTAAGTGATCTGATCAGCTCACTCACTCACTCACTCACTCACGCACGCACGCACGCACACGCAAGCACACAGCGCAACACACACACACACACGCACACACACACACACACACACACACACACGCACGCACACACACACGCACGCACGCACACATACATATCGTTTTGGTATCTTCACTTTCTGCACACCTACGGCATGAGCGCCCACGCTTGTCACACACTACACCTAACCAGCAGCCATGTCTATAACGACTAGTCTCTTCACACTACGTACATTAGTCTAAGAGCGCACGCGTGCGTGCGTGGTGCGTGGACATCACCAGCAACCCCGCGGTTGCACTCAAATCGGAGACTAATCAATCAATGATAAATGACTTGTGCGTGCGTCACTGTGTGACACTACACGCCGTGCCGTGTATAGAAGCACCTGTCACGCACGGAAGCGGCGCGCCTTCTAGAAATATGACCTCATGGCGCAAACGTAACGCGAATCATTGTAGAGCGCTCCGTGCCCTCTACGAGTCTCTCACTCTACTTAAAGTGGATGAACCTCGCAGCTAGATGCATAATATATATATACCTACTGTGAGCTCTCCTATGT